CATAACAGATCATTACTCATTAACAGATAACGAAATGAATTTACCAAAAGAGAAAAAAAAAAACAAGGGCTAACGAAATGAACTAGAGGCCCAGTCTTTATTGGGCCCCAATTTGTGGTGGGCTATTATGGCCCGGTCAAGTTCGCTATCCGGATTTCAGCCCCTGCAAAAAATCGGACGACGTATCCCTTTCTGCCTTCCTCCGTGTGGCTCTCTGTGCTTCATAATTTCATTTTTTCTTCTGAATTTTCCGATTATCCGTCGGCGGTCGTAGAACAAAACTTTTCCGGCGGTGTAAAGAGGAAGAAGCATCTTCACTCTTCACACTGAGCCGCTTACATCCGGTTTGCGCAGTGTTTTCGTGGAGATAATAATCTGAGCCCATTTTCGATTCTCGGCTGAATGAGCTCCCATGCCGTTGCTAGGTATACCTTCCTTTTCAGACTCCTACGAGATTCTGGTATTAAGTAACCGAAAATTTCATTCTTTCAGTTCTACTGTTGAATTTGCTAATATTTATGAGCTGTTATGGTTTGCCTTTCTGGAATTGGTGAATTGGAACAAATTATGGCTTCTTCAGATTGCATTTCCCTTGCAAAAAATTGAGACATTTGTTCATAGAAGCAAAGGGATTTTAGGTTCTCAGTGCAATAAATATTTTGTCAAAAAGTTGTCTTTTGTGGTGGATTGAACTAGATTGCTTTGGAAGTTCATTATTGCTCCTTGACATTCTTTTTCCTTTTGTAATTTCTGTCTTTGTTTCTATAAGAAGAATTTTTAGCGAATTTAAATGGTCTAAAAATTAAAGGGTCTCTTTACTCTTTAGTATTTGGTATGTTATTGTGTTATTGAACTAGTGCCTTCTTATTACTTGTAAGTGACTTTGAGCATCTATGTTGTGATGTAACTGAACAGATATTGCTACTGTCCAGCCGTCCTTGCAAAATCATCTAGTTCCAGTATGTTCTCAGACCTTTATTCATGGTCAAGTTTTGTCAAGTCCATGGAAAAGTTCTCAATTTTCTAGAAGGGTAGAATTTCATCCGAGACACTTGGAGAAGCAAGGGAGTTGTCAGCTCCGGATTAGAGCAGCTGCACTCACAACCCTTGAACTCAAGAGTTCAGTTCAGAAAGAAGATGGCTCTGGTAATTCCATGTTGGCTGTTCATTCAAGTCCCTTGTCAACTCAGATTGAGTCTTTGAAAGAAGATTGGGTGGATTTGGATGAGAGAGAAAGATTGAGACGGATGAGAATTTCTAAGGCAAATAAAGGAAACATACCATGGAACAAAGGCAGGAAGCATAGTGCTGGTAACTAATTACTATATGACCTTGACTCCTGCATCTGCCAGCCTGTTTACCTTTTATTTGCATATTGGTGTTACTATAAATATTTTCTTCATGTGCAGAAACTTGTAACCGGATCAGAGAGAGAACAAGGATAGCAATGCAGAATCCTAAGGTGATGTCATGTAAGAATATTTTAGGTTTTCCTGGGGATTGAACTTCATATGCTTTATGCTTGGACAAGCAAATTCTAAGAGTAACAATACAGTAAGGACCATTTGGATGATAGGGGGACCATCAAGAACCAATTACTCATTTTCTGAACGCAGGTCATGGGAAAAGTAAAAGTAATAATAAAGCAGATCATTTTTTGCTAAATTTTCTTTCTCAGCAGGATGAAACTCTTAAAAGGCTCTCACCCCACCATTTTTCTTGTCTGTGATGTTGTGGTCACAATTTCTGATTAGACATTGATACAGACAGCCTTCAGTTCAATGCACTTCACAACACACTCATTAAAAAATCATTATTTTTTTGTCTAGAATTAAAGGTGAAAAAACTTAAAGATGCAGCTATACATATAGCATGGAGGAACTAGTTGAACTGGCTGCATTTTTATTATATTTTAATGGCTGAACTAACTGGGTATTGGCATGTGTGTTAAACCAGGGGTGTCCGAATCATTTTCTTTTCTGATTGCCTCCCCAAACATTTCCGAAGTCTTTTCCCTTTTTTTTAGTAATATACATTTCCATAATGGGCTGTCTTTCATTGATGAGAGCTCTTCTCATTCTATGTATATCTATAGAATTATCTATTCCTGTTCAGTTGTTGGTGCATGTACTGGATAAAAGTTTATGTATACAGAATTCATTCAATTTGTCTAGATACGCAATCTTTTGTTTTGACTTGACAAGCAAAGTTGAGATTCATATATTTGGTTCAATTTTTTTTTTTTTTTTGCTTCCTTTTTTTCCTTTTCTCAACCTAGTGGAATAGCATATAAACTAGACAAATATGTGTGGCATGGGGGATTATCTAACAAAAGTTGAGGGGATTTATATTTCATACTTAGTCACATACAAATTGCATCATATTATTGTTTATTCTAATGGTAAAATCTGCTCATGCAGATCAAATTGAAGCGAGTTAATCTTGGTCGTGCTCAGAGGTGGGTGCTAAACCTGTTATCTGTTAGTAGGACTTTGGTTTTAAGTTTACCATCTTTCTCTATTAATTACAGCAAGTTTTTATCACTTGGAGGTTGTCACATATAAGCCTTTAGTTGGCTTGTAGTTGGGATTTAAACAAGTAGAATAATATTTTCAAATTTTATTTTGTGTGCAGTTTTTCCCTCTTAATTATAACCTTGCTTCTCTTAATGAAACTACAGTGTAGAAACAAGGTTAAAAATTGGAATTGGAGTGCGAATGGGGTGGGAAAGGCGTCGTGAGAAGATAATGATGCAGGAAACTTGCTACTTCGGGTGGCAGAACTTAATTGCAGAATCTTCTAGAAAAGGCTTTCTTGGTGAGGAAGAGTTGCAGTGGGATTCCTACAAGATCTTGGATGAACAGCTTAAGAAGGAGTGGTTGGAAAGCGTTGAAAGAAGGAAAAGCATGCCACGGCCTAAAGGTAGCAAGAGGGCACCAAAATCCCCTGAACAAAGAAAGAAAATTGCAGCCGCCATTGCTGCCAAATGGGCTGACCCTGTAAGTGATTATACAAAGCTTGCACGTTTTAAGATTTCTGCTGTGAAATAAATATATAATATAGTTGAAAGATTAACATTGAGCAGTGTCTTTAGGAGTTGAGGTTCTTAAAAGATCCTGCTGGGACAAATTTCAAATTCAAAAGACGCTAGATTAATAGTAAAGAAAGTAATATTGAGAAAGTTTCATTCTATTACTGGCATAAGAAAGGGGAAACAGTTTCAATGTTTGCATGTTATCAAACATGGAAATGGTTAATTTGCAATTCACTCTCATCACACCCAATATATGGAGGAAAGCTATATTTGGAGATTTCTATCAATTTGCATATTGCCTTGTCTGAATGTGACCCTTATGTTCAATTTCTTTAGATGTTGCCAGACCTGACTACCTAAGCGTGGATTTCTTTTACATGTTTAGTGTTTTGGGTTTGCATTTTCTTGTCCTGTGCTCTCTAAACCAGTGAAGGGGTGCTACCTGAGTTTTCAACATTCTAAGTGAACTTCAGAACCACCTTCTTTAATTCCACTGGCTATCATGTATAGTTGACTAAATAGTTTAGGTCTGTCAAAACCCAACTTTGGGCCATTTGGACTGCTTTCTTTTTCTTCAGTGGTTAGATTTTAATTTGATTCTTGTGGATATAATTACTAAACTTAAGTTTGGCGCAAACAAGGGTTTTCTTTTTCTTACTAATGTATATTCTGTTCCTGAATAGGCATACCGGGAGCGGGTTTGCTCTGGCTTGGCAAAGTATCATGGGTTAACAGATGGAGCTGAAAGGAAGCCAAAGAAAAAGCCTAGTGGCGGTACACAGCCCAGAAGAAAGAGTCTCACAACAAAGAAATTTAGTGATACAGATGATTCTTCTCGCATTGACACTAAAACTCTGACTGAAGGAAAAAGGTCACGTAAACGTAATGCACCCCTGTATAAGGATCCTATGCCTAGTTCCAAGTTAGATATGATCAAGAACATCAGAGCACAGAGAGCAGCTGCAGAATCTAAGAAAACTGAAGCCATAGAACGTGCAAGGTTATTCGATAATTATTCCTCGTCTCTGTATACATTCCTCATGTATATGATTAATTAGATGGTGGTTATGCATAAGCTAGACTGAGCTTCAGAGCTTTGAATCTGCCTGCAGCCTCAGTCTATATCCACGAATCGATACTAGTTAACTCTGTCCTTTTATTTTTATATGATATTCTTCAGACTTTTGATTGCTGAAGCTGAGAAGGCAGCAGAAGCCCTTGAGATTGCAGCTGTGAAAAGCCCTGTTGCTCCAGCTTATCTCGTTGAAACTAGAAAGCTCATAGCTGAAGCAATTCAATCAATAGAATCCATAGAGGGAGCTGAGGTCACATCTAACGAGATTGGAAAACATCTTTCTGTTAACTCGGCCGAGCTTACAACTGAGGTTGACAAGGAAATCGGATCAGAAGATGGTGGTTTGATCCAAGCAGAGCAGAAAGAGGTAAATGGGAGACAAACCCTTCCCGTAAGTAAAAATGAGGACTTCAGTTTTGCTAGCTTCACTTTAGCACGAATAGTGAATGATGAGGAGAAATTTATGCTTCCAAGCTCAAGTAATCATGTTTTATCAGCATTGAACTTGGAAGATCTGGTAAAGCTGCCAGACTCATCTGAACAACTTGCTCAGTTTGAACCAAATGGGATTGACAAACCTGAAAAGACCAATGGAATCAATTTACAGGTAAAGGAGGATGACATTCCTTCTAAACCAGTTACTGTCACCAAGAAATGGGTTCGCGGGAGGCTTGTTGATGTGTCAGAAGAAGCTTCATAAAACATCTATGAAATTTGACATTCCTTCCAGGTAGACAGCGGTTTGTTATCATAGCTGTTCTGTCCAGGAGTCCTGCAGTCTCAATGCATCAACTCTGCTGCTTTCACTAGCTCCTAGGATCATTTTGGTACCTCTAATTCACAGAAAGTTTTGTTATCACTGCTTTAGCCATAGATTGTATCAATTGGTAGTTCTTCAAGGTTCAATGTTTCACTTCTCCCCCTTGTTTGCTTTTAATATATGAGAATTTTGTTTTGCAATTTAGATCATAAAACAAAAATTATTAGATGGAAAAGAACCCCTACTATCATGATTGCGTAGGTCTCATGATATATGGGGTGCACAGACTTCGTGATACTAGGACCTCCTCTCCATTTAAGGAATTAATTGCATAACAATTTTCTATAAATATATGTTATCTCATTCTCTATTATTTATTTCAAGAGCATGGATCATGCAGCACTCTATGAAAAATGTTTTCTTGAAATGAAATCTTAGCTATATAAGTGTTAGTAATTATGATTTGTCTTTTTAATAAGGCGTGTGAATTGATATATATTAATTTATTTAATATCACGTATCATATTGTTGTGAATTAACTCATCTACAAAGATAAAGGAAGATTTCGAAATTTTTTTTAACTTTGACATTACACCTTTTGAAGTTCACACGATTAGTTCAAGAGTTTTGGCCATCTTTGGAGCTATTTGTCTGTGAGTATACTACTTTCTCGATCTCTTTCTTCTTGTTTTCTTTCTCTTCTTTCCCTTTCTTTATAACCTTCTCCACCTCCTCTTCCTGAAACAAACAACACAAACAAAATGTAAATTTCCATACTGCAAGAATTTTGGGTAGCAATTGGCAATGAGAGGAGATTCACAAAAACGCAAATATACATCTACGGTTTTAGGGATGGGTGGCCTGACACCGTGAACTGCGGCTCTGTTAGCCGCCTTCATGGTGGTTCTCATGAACTGCAGCTCATGATTCTGGCCCCGGTTCCGGAGCCTCCTGGCACTGCCGACTGCTCTCCACCATCTCCCAACGGCAATAAGCTTTTCCTCCATTGTTAAGAAATACCAACTTTTTCCTTTCAGCTCAGAAATTGCCCGTCGGCGCTTTGTTTGCTTTGCTTTGCTTTATAGATCCTTCTTTTTCTTCCAGCTTCCCGATTTCTCATTGCCACGTGTAAAGACCAAAAAGCAGAACTGCCACGTGTCACCCCTACGTGCTCCCTCTCTCTCTTTCGTTTTTCCGGTGCATACTAGAAGTCTAGAACATTGTCGCTTTTTCCATTCTAATTTTCAGATCAGCCCTCAAACTTGCAAGCTTCAGTAAATCTTACCTTTTTTTATTTATTGACTTAAGTCCTAACATTATTGGTTTCATGACAAATATACTCAAAAAATAGTTAACTAACGCTCTTAATTAGTTATTAAACGGAAAAAAGAAATTTTAATCTTCGAAGTGGGAATATTAATTCAATGTAGATATTAATTTACATTTTTAGATGTTGTATTTTTAATCATATTTTTTAATACAAATAAATTTTTATTAATCAAATATAGTCATACAACATCTACATAATCAACATAAGTTTTCTTTTCTCATGTATAAGAACTTACGATAATAAATAACATATTGAACACTAATGAAGATTCTTCATGGCCATATGAAACTTTGCAATCCATTTCATTGCCCTATTCACTTGTTGCTAGATATAAGGGAGAAAACATAAGAACAATACAAAATAACAAGAGACCACTAAAGAAGGAAAGAGAAAAGGAAAGAAAACAACAAGAAATTAAACAAAAAGAAAACCTATAGACCCCATAAGGAATCATTGGACTAAGAAGCATAAGAAAACCTATCGACTCAATGGCACTCAAGAAGCCAAAGGCTTCCAAGCAACAAAAGGAAAAGCAAAGTATTGATTAGATTTCTTTCTAGAGAGAGGCAAGAGAGTTCTAGACCCAAAAATGAAAAATCTATTAAAAATATTAAAGATTATTTTTAAATATTCGTATTTTACAGGTTAAATTGTACTTTAACTATACATTAAATGTGTAGTTTCAGTATTAAAATTATGAAATTGTCATTAATGAAATAATATAGGAAATAATTTTATTAAAGATATTTTATTAAATTCATGGGACAAACTACACTTTTATCTAATTAAACTTAAAATCATTTTTAATTAATTCAATTAATGTTATTGAATCCTAATTTTATTGGATCTATTTGTCTCAAACAAAGAGTTTTAGGGTTCAATTGACAAACAACCGAATTTAAAGGCCAAAAATAATAAAACTTTATAACTTCCAGAACCTGATTTGAAAATCTTCCAAATGAGATCGGATCCGGACTTCCAACTAACCCGAACCTCTACTGGGCGGGTAATGTGTCCTTTTCGTCCACCGTCCGTCTCTGTTTCGGCGATTCCAATCCACCTCTTATCGTCATCAGAACCATTTTCGCAGGCAGAACTAATCGCATTGGCCTTCCAATCGCCGGCGAGTTTCGATTTTCTGCTTCCAATTCGCCGGCACTCTCTCAGCCACTCAGTGAATCACTCGATTACTCGGAGTCACTGACTCGCCCGTAGGAACGGCAATGGAAAGAGATTCCTCCGACGAAGACGACGATCATCAAAACTTAATCCACCAAAACGACACCAAACACTTGCCGCCTCAACTCCCCGCCGGCACGAGCCCTACCTCCCGTGCGAGATCCGCCTTCCACATCGAAGACCTTGAGTCGCAAATCCGTCGCCGTTTCAAGCTCAACTTCAACAAATGGTACGTTGTCGCCGTGTTACTTCCGCTGCTCATCATCGTCATATACTACTCCACCGACGCTCGCTCCCTTTTCTCCACCAATAATTTTTCGCTCAGATTCGATTCGGTTACAGATCGAATGAAGGAATCTGAATTGCGCGCTCTTAATTTGTTGAATCAGCAGCAATCTTTGCTTCTGTCTACATGGAATCGTATGTTTGTCGACAATAACGTTTCAGGCGTTCAGTTTGATGACATTAAAGCTGCATTGCTCAACCAGATTTCGTTGAATAAAAACATCCAACAGGTACTCTTATCGCCTCACCGGACCGGAAATTTGTCGGCAGAGCTCGGCAATGCAACCGTTTCAGACCCTACTTTTGGCGGGTACGGTTTTGACAGGTGTAGGAAAGTGGACCAGAGGTTTTCAGAGAGGAAAACAATTGAATGGAAGCCCCAATCCAACAAGTTTTTGTTTGCAATTTGTGTTTCAGGACAGATGAGTAATCACTTAATCTGCCTAGAGAAGCACATGTTCTTTGCGGCATTGTTGAATCGTGTACTTGTTATACCGAGTTCAAAAGTTGATCATCAGTACAGCAGAGTGTTAGACATTGAGCATATCAACACCTGTGTGGGAAGGGAAGTGGTGATTACTTTCGAAAAATTTATGGAAACCAAAAAGAATCATCCTCACATTGATAAGTTTGTCTGCTATTTCTCTTCACCTCAGCCGTGCTATTTGGATGAAGAGCGTGTCAAGAAGTTGAAGGCTTTGGGGATTTCTATGGGGAAACTGGAGGCTCCTTGGAAAGAGGACATAAAAAAACCCAGCAAGAAGAAAGTACAGGATGTGGAGGCTAAGTTTAAGGCTGATGATGATGTGATTGCAATTGGGGATGTGTTTTATGCAGAT